GGTGACCGCTCTCTCCTGGGAGACCTGGACCTCTGTCTCCGGAGGCGTGCGTGATCTTCTCCTTGGGCTCCGTGACCTATCTCTTTATTCCGCTCGACTTTTGTCGTGCGTCCGGGTGACTAGGGGACTCCTCAAATCGCCGGGGGATAAGTACTTGAGGCTGGCGTTGAACTCGCGACACTCTTTGGTGCCGTGAGTTGCCAGTTGATGCCAGTCGGACCAATATTCGTCGTCCTGCCTTCGCTGCCGCGGACGCCTCTCCTTTGAGCCGCCTCTTCCTCGGCGCCCGTCGTCTTCCCTTTCAGCGGTAAACACTTCTCGCCTTCCTTCTCGGTTGTTGTATCATGATTTGTAGTTGCGCCTCTCGGGCGAGCGTCTCCTTTCTTTTGGCGATCCGCCCTTTCCTTTCTCCACCTTCGCTGTGCGAGTGTGTATCCCTTTGGCGCGGTCTTCCGTCGTCAGCGTTTCCTCCAAGAATATAGCTTTCCGCAAAAAATGGTACAGATCTGGCCAGGACCCTATATTGTTTTCTTTTTTATGAGGGCCCTTTTTACCTCTCAACTATGCATAGAAATCCTTAGGTTTCCGACGGCCACGCTAGCCGATATGCCCTGGACTTCACATGCTATTGTATTCCAACGGTCGTAGAAATCCATCAGTGTTTCCTCCTCCCCTTGCTTGCAGTTCATGAGTGCTGACACTGTAAGCTGCCTCCGAAGTTTTCAATAATTCCCTCTGGTAAGGACGCATACCAACTCCGGCACTGACCGCTGAAGGTAACAGGGATCGCCTTGCACATGTCGGCATCTGAGGCGTTTATCAGCTGCATCTTGAGCATAAAGGCGCTTAGGTGGTCTGTTGGGTCTGAGTTCCCACCATAAGCGGGTAGCCCTAGTGACGAGAAGTTCGAGGGCACTTGAGTTCTGAACAGACTCTTTGCCAAGGGGTTCTGCAGAACATTGTAGGTTTTCGTTTTTCCATAGGTGGGTCGCAAGTGCTCTTCTAAAAAGCCGAGGGGGCGCCTTCTGCCCCGTCCTCTTCTTCAGATTCCCAGCCTTCTGTCTGAGCAGGGCTGACGAGAATCTCTCCTTCAACTCCTTTGCCTTTGTCCTTCTGTCTGCTGGCGCTTTATGGCTCGTCTCTGGCTTTGAGCATGGCGAAGATCTGGCCTAGGCTTTCCTGCATGCTAGAGATCTGTTGGCCTTGCTCTTTTACACGTTCCTCCATGTCTCTTTCTTCTTCGACCGTCGGCATTTCCAAGCCTCTGATTCCTTCCCTGCCAACCACGTCCTTGATCGGAGTTCTGGAGCTCCCGTCCAACCTTTTTCAATGCTTCACCTCTGCCTCACGGTGGGCGCCAAATTGTTTGTGCCTAGTAAATACTAGGCGGTTTGTAGGACAGGGGTGTTGCATCTGTTCTTGGAAGGAGGGTGCACTTCAGATCACTGCAAAACAAGGGTCCGTGGGCGGTTGCCCGGGACACTCTCCAATGCTTAAGTTAGATAGAGAAGTGTGTAGAAATGTGTTTGTTCTAGAGAGAGAGAGAGAGAGAGTAGTTGAGTTTACCATCAATGCTCTCATGGTGCATTTATACATGGTGTGGTGGTGGTTGAGTCATTTAATGTTAAGTCAGGCGTCCCTGACAGATATACTCCCTAGGTGGACCGCCTTTGACGAGCAATAAATGCTCAGTCTTACCCAGCCCGAGGTACGTATATCAACGGATATTTGCTTTCTGTCATGGTTAGTCGCTTTATGTCAGGCGGTTCTGGACACTCCTTGGGTTTGGAGTCGGCCTGGGACCGCTTGTCACCCTGGACTGACCTGACTGGGCCGGATACTCCATTGGGCCCCACTAGCTGGTACTTTCCTCCTGGGCTCGAGGCCCATGACCGCTCAACTACGTGGACCAACACTTAGGGATGGCAATTTCGACCTGGCCCGTTTTACCCGACTTGTTTGGTCTATTTTGGGGCGGAGCGGGCATGGGTACTGTCATCGACCCGACCTGCCCTGACCCGCCCCATTCTCAACCTGTTCTTGCTTAAATTACATGTAATCTTAGTCAAATTACTTAGAAATTTTCTTTTATTACATTATGATTTAGCTATAATAAAGTTGTAAATTAGTGAAAACCTCAAGTTCTCTAATAATTTAACTACATTTATCATAATATTGTTTGTTTTCTTGGTCTTATAATAAAAATAACGAATATTTCTAATATTTTTCATATGAATTGCATACCCATTGGGTCGACCTGCCCCGATCTACGACCCGTGATAAATTACCCGACCTGCCACGGGGCATGCCTGGATACCAAGAAACCCGCCCCAGACCGCCCCATTGTCATTCCTAGTTGACTGTGTACCTCTCATCACAGTTGAAGCAACGACCATCTCTGCACTTCTGCTCCATCTGTGTTGATGTCATTATGACGAACCCTTTAAGTGAGAGTCGTGGCCCTAGTCACGCCATCAGTGGCATTGCTAGCTCCGGACACAAACCTGCAAGACACAGACCCACCAGAGTCTCCTCTGGTATTCCCTTACACATATTTCCCAACTTCAGGAACTCTGATCGGTACTCAACAATTGTTCTATTCTACCTCAGCTTGTCCAACTATTCTAGGGTCCACCCTTAATATCTCTCAAATTGATACCTTAGCTCCTCCTTGAATTAGATCCAGGTAATCAACATCTCCGCTTCTGCATGCAGAACCCAATCCAATCTCCCAATGTCAACTGGTACAAAGATTCTCAGGCCGAGGCATCATCAGAGGGGGTGGGTAGACAATATCAGAAGCACCTCCTATGTCACTCCACGTGCCTAGACGGCGCACCCTCCATGTTGTTCGTTGGTGGTAGGGTTGGATATGGTCGTTTCGACTAGTAACTGGTTTAGTTTCACCCACTTGGTCCGACCTGGCCCTCCCGCTGCCCAGCCTATTTGGGTGGTAGGCCCGGTCTGTGTGTCAGGCCCCGTTCAATTTCCCACTTTGCCCCTGAAGCTCGACTCATCCTCTTCTATGGCCTAGAAGCAAAGAGCTCGACCTATGAACGCATGTGGCCTAGTTCTTTCTTGGGGCCCTTAGGCCCACCAAGTCATAGGCTGACATCTTTGTCTTCCCATGTAGCGCAGCAATCTCCTGGGTCGTGGGTGTGCGTGGCAGGCTCAGAACAGCTTTGGACCAGTCGAACCCTAGCCCCCGCCCCCGTCGTCGTGTCATCCACCCTGCTCTGTTGCCTTCGCGGTCAGCTTTGACACATTCGTTGTCGGCATCCACAACTTCAGGTCTGGTCGTTGCCCACCTACAATTCCTCTTTCACCTTTGGCACCTCCAACATATCCTTTGATGCAAATGCTAGTGTCATCATCTCTACCAACATCCTCAAATCTTCACTAGTTCTTCTGGCAGTTTCCTAGAGATTCGTATTGTTATCCCATGCGAGTATGCAGGCTAATGTGATGATCCCCCACAGATATGAGCAGCTCCTAGAGACACTCACCAACGGCGATGCTCTCAACTTCTACAATCTCTTGCAGCTTCTTCTTAAGTGATGCATCCATTTTGATTCTAATGTCAAACCATACGCCAAGCAGGCTCTTATACCACTTATAGAAACCCGGATTTAGGTGTCTTTGCCTAGGATTTGTGAATCAGAGATAATAGAGAATTGGGGATTTAGAAGAGATTAGGGATTGAGATTAGAGGTAGAAGGAAAGAAAAAGAAGAAGAAGTTTCTGAAAGATCCTGGCTTTCGTGCTTTGGTGGGTCTCCGAGATCCTTTCGATGACCTATGTTGTGTTGAAGGGATATCTATATGATCCAATCGATTGCGTAAAGCACGCGGTAAGAACACAGGTATTGTAGACAGTCCCCCATTTGCATCCCTAAGCATTTGTTATTTCCCAGTTATTGAAAAATCCCATAATTGGATCGTTTTTCATCCAATTCTATAGATTGAGCTAGCAATGATGGGATTTCTATTCTGTTTACAGAATAACATAAAATTTCATCAAACTCCATATATGGATATGGAATGTATGAGCAGAGGAATAAAGAGATGGCTGACGACCCAGGTTCATCCTGGTCATGGATAGATCACCCAGGTTCGGGTCCATAATTAGTGACAATTGCCCTATGAAGACTCGCTTTCGCTACGGCTCCGGTGGGTTTCCCTTAACCAAGCCACTGCCTATGAGTCGACGGCTCATTCTTCAACAGGCACGCGGTCAGAGTCCGTCTCCTCCCAGATGAGGGATGGCTGACGACCCAAAGGGGGGAAGGGGAAGAGGGAAATTTCGGTAGAAAAAAAGGAAAAGAGAGGGAGAGAGACTAGGTCAGTGGTGAGGCGATGGAAGACATGGATTTTTTTTTATAGAAGGGAGGCTACAAGCCAGAAGGGTAACACATAAATAGAACCCTTACATCAGCCACAAGTGACACTGCTCAGACGCAGGCCCCTGACAAGGATCCAAAAGAAAACTAAGACAAACCGAAAAGCTATCCTGAAGGTATCATCCGCGGGAAACTAATCCCTATCATATCTTCCCAAAGAATCTGTTCTAAACCGGTAGGAGGATTGATTAATTCATACATACCGAAAGGATAGACGAGACTGTGCTTCGAGAGTCAGTCCGTGACTCTATTCCCTTCGCGATATGTATGAGTTAACCGAACCATCCAATTCCTTGCCATCATCCTGCTAATCGTCACAAGGAGAGTAGAGTGAGGGTGAACCGGGTCGTCTCTTTTCTTAATCAATTCCACAGCCAGCTGAGAGTCCGTTTCAAGGATCAGAAACTGAACTCTTTGTTTCCAAGCATAATTATCCTAAAATGGTTACATAAGTTTGCCGTTAGTGCAAAATAATCGTATATGTTTTACTTTTTGCGAAATAATAGTACAATAATTTATGTTTGGTACCTATCGTTAAGTCAGCGAAAGAAAATTGTGATGGTGCAACCATGATTCAATTTAAATGTTTTAGTTGCAAACATTCGACTTATAAGATTTATTCGTAACAAAAAAAAAATCAAGTGGTTAGTTTGCAATATATGATACGATACGCATAAATGGTAAGCCGTGCAGTTAACCCCATCTATGACAAGAGAAACCGTACTTGGAAGCTTACCAGTTCCAGCTATTTAAAGGGAATGAAGAAAAATAATCATCAACATATAATTAAACAAGCAATCTACAAACATGTCCGCCTGATCTAGAGACATGGTCGCCTGAAAACTGAATAAATATATAGTCATCTCCCAACACTCAAATACACTTCTCACACCACAACGTTCACAACTGCCGACAATACAGACCACCAAACTTTATTTAGCAATTCGGCTAGGAAAACTAGTAAGTTTATCATAAACAAGGCAAGAGCACCATCATAAAAGTTCACATATTGCAGGCGAACCATGTAGCCCGGTCTCCTTTTTATGTAGTGAGGATAGGTGGGAGGTAATCAGATTTAGTACCGAGAACCCGAGCCTTAGTGTCCGGGAAGAACTCAGCACCAGGGTACTCCGTCACGTTGCCTTCATTGTCAATGGCAATCGGGTAGCGGAGCAGATGGCCAGGGAGATCATGCTCGAGCGACTCGCTCGAGTACAGATCCCAATACTTGTCGGCAGCTTGGTTTACCTTCTTGATGCATTCCTCGCTATCTGGGAACAGGAAGCAGTCGTCAAGCATGCCGAGGTGCTCGTACCACAGTGACATACGGAACCCGTGGACCTGGCCTCGTGCTGGCTCTCTGACAGCCAAGTGATACGGCTGGTATGCACCCATTGCGATCTCAGAGTCCCTCGCACCGTCCATTGAGCGCTGGTTGATGTTGGCTGACCCAACTATTATGTACTCATCATCAACTGCAAAAAGCACAGGGGAAGAATGTAAAAACCATTACTGAAAGTGACACTTTTAAGTTTTAGGAAAACTGATGACAGATAAGTCATCACGACCCATGCAAAGCACATATCAAAAGCTAAGAATTTATAGAAATTTGCAAGTGTTAAGGCATCAAATTCATAAGACTTACCAATCATCATCTTTGAGTGAACATAAATCATAAATCGCCTGGCTTCCTGAGCTCTAATGTAATCTGTATCAGGCTCTGGCTTCTCCGAAGGCTCATACTCTCCACTTTTCTTCATTTCACGGTTCCCAATGCAGAAGAATGTCAAGTAGTTTCGAGGATCCTCCACTCTACCCTGAGCTTTCAGGGCCTGAACAATATCATGATACATCATGTCCATCGTCCTCCTCTGCCAATCCAAAATGGCTTGAACTGAAGCACTCTCTGGAATGCCCTCTGGCCACATTGGAACAACCACGTACACAGTAAATCTCTCCCCTGCCTCAATCTTGCTGACTATCTTCAGTGACAACTCCTTAGGAATCAGATGTAGGCAATTAAGGTCCTCAACCTTGACATCATCAGCTGCCCAACCGAAAGAACTGCCAAGGAAGTACTGGTTCTCAATATAGATAAAATTCTTTGCCCTTCGAATGGCGTTGATATATGCATCTTGAATACTCCGGTCAATGATATTATCCTTCCCACTAATAAGCCCAGCCCTAGCAGCATCTTCAGGAGTCTCTGGGAAGCCAAAACAAGCTCCACCATCAATGGACCTAAACAGCTGCACATTCCATGTCTCGCGATCATCAGGATAAGTGACTGGAGACGGAGGAATAATTACATCTTCCATGTCCCTCAGCTGAACAAGCACATCTTTACCACCTTGCTTTCTCCATCTCTGCTCAAAGTTGTACAGCACGTCCCAAGCAATAGGCCCTTCTAGGCGAGAGTGGATGTCATGCCAAGGTTCTCTGGGCCCACCTTTTGTTATTGCAGCACCTTCAAAGTTGGGTTGATGGAAGTCATCGTGATGAGCTGTATCCAATGTCCTGAACAAAGAGTGGAAGGGACTATCATATCTGCCATCACAAAGATCAATTCCACCAACAAAACTAACGATTCTTCTCCTTTCTGAGCTACCATTTGGCATATCATGGTCCACAACAACAATCTTCTGGTGATGAGTAAACATTGTGGAAATTTGAAGATCTTGAACAAAGCTTCCACCATCATCCGGGTTTCGGGGACACAAAACGCAATTCACATCAGTGTTTTCGAAGTACTGTGCGGTTTCTTCATCATGAGTGGCCATCAGACCATCCTTTTTAAGCAGGCCAACAGATGTCCTATCATCCCAAACAAGCATAAGGACTCGAACGCCTTCACTTGCCTTCTTCTTCAGCAGTTCACCGAGCATTATGTCACCCCCTGGCTTCGGCCTCCTGGAATCCCTTACCAAGCTTATCTCAGTATAGACAGACCAGCCAGTAATGTAGATCAAGTGCTTTGCATTTGTTATAGCATCAAAAATATCTTCCCAACACCTATGAGGCTCATAGTAATTGCCTCCTGCAAGTGGGATTTTGGGAATAAAATTGTCGGGGATGTGAGCATCTTGGTACAGAGAAACTTTGCAACCTTGTCTCTGAGAGAAGAATGTGTAAGGTACACCAGGGAACTTGGCGCTTTTGATGCCTCGAGCCCAATTGTAGTCTTTTGCCACATCAAAGTATTGTAGCTTCACATGGATCTTAGAACCGGCTTCAATTGGGTTTTTGTCCTCATCCAATATCTCAACCCAGCGATCTATCTCTTCACCATCAAGGATCTCCGTAACAGGTACATATGCTCTTCCAATCAATGTTGCGCCAATAGGGTTGTCGTCCTTGACAGAGAAGACAACATTGGAAGCCATATGGCCACAGTAGATATGGAAAGATTCATACCACCTTGGATTGCTTGGCTCATTTTCTAGAAGTCTGGTTCTTCCAACCCTAGCCCTCTCCAGATCAATGGTTGCATACATTTTAGTTATTCCGTTCCCAATCCCAACTTTCTCCCCGATGTTATCGACAAGCTGTAAAAGCAGTATTTCAACTCAGCCACCATGTGAAAGGAAAAGCACTAACTACAAAAGTCGCTCTAAATCAATCTCAGACAATCAGGAAGGCAAATTCAAATGAAACCACTCCATAGGAAATCAAGACAAGTAATGTGAAACAGAGAAGAATTACAGACATAATCATGCAGACGCATTGGGACTGTAATAGAAGTGGACAATCGACAACCAAATCTTGACAAACTGAGGGAGCGATAATTGATAGGTTAATCATTAAACTACAAAATTCTCACAAGGACAGAGGAAGGGGAATGAAAAGCTGTCTCATCATCTGCAATACCCAGTTACCCACATTCCAAATAAGCAAATCCCATCACCACCGGTATGAAGAACCCTAATTGAAGTTGAAGTTGAAACGACGAAAAACAATACAGCCCCATATAGTAGTCACTATACGACTCAGATATCAGGACATCAAGACTGCAAAGGGAGCACGAGTAAAAAAGAAAGGAACAGAAAATACCTTCTTTAAGAAGTTGTGTCCCCCTCCACCACCGCCAGGAAGCTTATCAACCTCGTAGACGGTAACATGTAAAGTGCCATGCAACAGGATTTGCGCCATGTTCTTAACCTGCCAACGTTCGAAGGCAACCAAATACAGCAAATCAAGATACGTAAACCGGAAAGGAACACCAACCCAAGGAAGGATGGAGAGAGAGAGAGAGAGAGAGAGGACTCCGTACAGTGAGAGACCACAGGGAGAAAGGAGTCCGGAAGCAGAAAGACAGATAGGAAAGGAAGGGGAAGGGGAAGAAGAAGTGAAGAGAAAGGAATTTTTTTAGCACGAAGCACGTGGAACAGTGTCGGGTCGGGTTGAGTTTCCTCCGGGTCAGACGGTTTCCCCTCATAATCTAAACCCCAAAAGAACAAATTCCCAAAAGAATAAACTAATATAGGAAGATAAAGGAACAGTAACGAACTATTCGCTGTTCCCGAGCCCCGACCACAGCCACGGCACTGGAAACGTGATGAACAACTCCAGAATTTTAGATCCCGAAAACTTGGGGAATTAGCAGCCCGAATTCCGTGAAGGACTAAAGCTTAATCAATCAATTTCATCAAATTCACAGCACAAAGAAGAAGAACCGAAAGAACTAGGGAAGAGGACGCAGCAGCAGCAGCTATATGAATCCGATGAGCGATGGGTGGACAAGAAGCCAAGTTTCAGAGCTGGGACTCAAATCCCAAAGTCTAGGAACCCGATCAAGGCGTCAAAGTGAAGAGGAACAGTAAAAAAGAAGAAGGGTAAGGAGAAATAGAAGCAGACTCACTGGGAATTCAGGAGCGGCCGGCAACGGATCACGGCAGCGCGGCGGCGATTACAGCTAAAGAAAAAGGAGCTGGGAAGTGGGGAATGGGTTTTTGTATTAAAGCAAAGAGATGGAATGGAAGAAGGAGAGCAGAGAGGAGCAGTACAGTGCGGTGGGAAAGAAAGAAGGGTTGGGGCAGTTGAATCAATCAATCAATGGGTGGTGGATGAGATGAGATGAGGCGAAAGTCAGTGTCAGGGGTCACAGGATTGAGTGACGACGTGGTTCCCGTTCCCTCCCTTTGGGGTTTTTATTTTTAATTATATATTTTGTTTTTAGTCCTTTTCAGATGTCGGTAGCCAATTGCTAGCGCCCACGCGGTGGCTTTAACCCGACCGGCACCGTCTGTTTGCAAAGCAAAAGTGAGAGCCTGGGCCCGCTTCGCATTAAAGGGGTATACCTTGACAATTAACCAGGGTTGAAAAACGGTGCGGTCTGGTACAGATTAGACCATATATATGGTTTATGGTCCAGATCGAGAGGCTAAGTATAGACCACAGACCAGATCACAGACTATACGGTCTGGTCCAGACCATGCTTGTTCGGTCTGATCTGGTCCACATAGACCACTCTCAACGAAAAATGAATAATTTGTTTAGTAAACCACACAAAAAATTGAACCAATAACCAGGAAAAATAATTGTTATTTGGCTTAAATCATTAATCCTAACATGCATGAATAATTTTGATACTCTAAATCTTAGTACATAACAAAGATACAAAGTAAATGCATCCCAACTTGCACCATAACGTCATAAACATTAACATAATGTCATATGGAGACAAGATTATCTCTACTCTCTGGTTAAATGTGGTTGTGAATGAAGGAGGGACGAGATTCACAAAACTAAGGTTCAGACTTGAGTGTCATTGTAGGAGTTGGGAGAGTAGTCGAATGGGCTGTTAACACGTATTGACAAGTCAGTTGGGTCCACGGTTTGGTCCGATAAACCGCGGTCTAGACCAGACCAGACCAAGAGATCAAAACATAAGATAATACAGACCATGGACCAAACCAGACCATACTTAACGGTCTACGGTCCGCACCAAACTGTGCGGTACGGTTTGAACCACGGTTTTTCTAACGGTCTGGTCTATTTTCCCAGCCCTACAATTAACAGAGCAACCTGCTGGGCTGCCCATGAGATGCTTAACAATTAACATTCAGCTCGAGATAAAACTAAGGATGGCAGTCGGTCGGTTTTGGTTTAACCAAAAATCCGGTTATCGGTTAAACCGAGCCACCCCCTATAGCTGCCGACCACCGACCGTGAGAGAGGTCACGATTAGCCGGCCAACCGATTGGTCGGTTCCAGTTTTATGCTCGGTTAGCCGACCAACCGAAAAAACTACCTTTTCCACAAGAAAAAAAAAACTAAAAATTAATTAAAAAAGCAAAAATTCTCCACCACTCATCTCAATCCTTATCTCCTCCTCTCTCCTTCCTTCCTCCACCATACCACTTCTCTTCTCTCTCCTTCCTTCCTCCACCATTTCACATAGGGGTGGAAGTTTGGTTTGCGGATTGCGGGTAATCCACAAACCGCACCAAACCGCATACATTGTGGGTAACCATACCCACAATTTATGGATCGTGGTTGGGTGTGGGTAGCAAAATATTGATTTTTGTGGTAAGTGGTTAACCACTATCCACAGCGGTTAACTCACAAAACCCACAATAACCACACTAAGTATATTTATTTATTAATAAAACTTTGTAATATTAAAGTAAGTGAAAAGTAGAATGCTACAAATTAAACTAGGCTCCAAAATCAAATATATACTTATTTTATAAAATAAAACTAAGTCAATACACTGTGTTCGTATGTGATACTTTTATAAAATAAGTAGTGTACGTGTGGTATATGTTTATTTTATAACACAACAAAGACGATAAATGTGGTTTATAGTTTATTTAACACTTTATTGATTAACTTTCTTTTATGTAGGTTTTTGTTTTTGTGTAAGAATACGCTAATTCCACAACTCGGGAGAGAGTTCCATTTATCCAAAAAATTCGAATTAAAAATGCAAGGAGTCATGTCGCTGATAAAGATGCTATGTATATTAAGATTAGATCCCCTCCAATCCATACTAGTTATCAATTTGCATTTCCTAAAGAAAGTGAAGTGACATGTAAGCGAGTGAAGTGAACCGAGGAGAGGGAGGTTGACTACTTAGGAGGTTCCGAATATCGGATCTTCGCTCGTTCCATGTCTTGGGCTTCTTTACTTAGTTTTAACTCAATGTGTTTTTTTTTTGCCGTCACTCGATCGATAGGTTTATCATATACGAGTCCAAAGGGTGAAGGAATGAAATTTTTTGTGGGTATCCACATCCAACCCGCACCAACCCGCAGTGGATAGTGGTTAACCACTACCCACTGTGGGGCGGGTTGTGGGTAGTATAATTCTATATTTGTGGATGTGGTTACCCAAAAAATGTGGGGCGGGTAACCACACCCACCCCAATTTCCACCCCTAATTTCACACCCACCAAACCACTTCTTCTTCTCTCACCTTCTTTCTCTATGGATGAACAGATCTGCAGGGGTCGCCGGGGGAGGGTGCGTCGGTCGCAGCCACGTCAGCACCGGGGGCCTCGGTGGTGAGGGCAGGTGGGGAAGACACGTCGGCTTCCAGCGAACCGACGGAAGAGTCGGAGGACGGAGCGCCGGAGGATTCATCGTCGGACGGGGAAGAAGCGGAGTCGTCGAAGGAAGGAGCGTCGGAGGATGATTCGTCGCCGTTGGGGGACTCGGCGGGAGATTCTCTGGCGGATGACTTGGGAGACTTGGCCGGAGAGGAGGAAGCCTTTGGCGAGGAGGCCTTGGGAGACTTGGGCGGCGAGGAGGAGGAGTCGTCCTTGTTGCCGGACTTTGGCGGGGAGGCGGAGGTGGCCTTGGAGCTCTTTGGCGACGGGGAGACGAAGTGGAGGCGGCGGGGCGAGACGAGGTAGAGCCTGGAGGTTTTTTGCGCCGCTGCGCAAGAAGGGGGAAAGGGACTGAGTGGCGATGGATTTGGGAGGAGGAGGGAGTCGACACTTAGGGTTAGTGGGAATGAAGCGGGGTCGTTTTGGGGAAAGGGAAGGGGTCGGTTAGCCGGTTAACTGCCGGTTTTCGACCCCGGGTAGTCGGCTAGACGAACCCCTGCCCAAGACCACCGCCAAACGACCAATGCAATCAGAAACAGTTTTTCGGTTCGCCAAAATGGGTCGGTTCGGTTGCCCATCTGGTTAACTGCTAACCGAAAATCGTTCTACCACCCCTAGATAAAACCGTTCGATATTTGGTTTGTTTGCTAACCTGTGTTGAGTTTGAACTAAATTGAGTTTGACCTAAGTCTTGTTTCGCTCGTAAAAATTCTCAAGTCGGTTTGATTGGTGGGTTGTTGAGCTCAAGTCGTGAATTAGCTCGTTTTGAGCTATGAGCTGACTAGATGGTGTGGCTAGCGAGCCACCTCGACTAGCGGCAAAAGAGGGAATCGATTTATAACTTATGAGTTGGCTTGATGGTAGTTGATAGATTTTGGTGGATTATATATCTCCCCACCTATGATATTTAAAATTTTGAGTATGTGAGTTGATACATCTCATTTATAATTTAAAAAAGAAATTATGTATCGTATATTACTTAGGTTTCACGACAGTTCTACATGATCTATCATCATTCAAACAGAGCAACACCTGAAGGGAGACATCCTCAGGGTCATTGTTTCCTATCACATCGAGGCAAGAAACCTCTGTTAATGAACAAACCACATGATCCCAATAACTCGAGTCGTTGCGAGAGGTTCGATAGTGGATCTTATACCACTTACTAACATGCCCCATCAAATGAAAGCCACTCATAAGGGCTTGAAGTTTTCACAAGTCCGAATATCATGGCTCAACATATGGGGGTCATGAGGATTCGAATTCGAACACAAGACCTCTCGATCAAAATAGGCTCTGATACCATGTTTACGAACAAACCACTTGATCCCAATAACTCGAGTTGTTAGGAAATGTTTGATAATGGATCTTATACCACTTACTAACAACATCCGCACATGGTAGGATCATGTTACATAAAGATAGGAAAATTCAAATGTTGCCAGGATTGAGATACGAGTCAAGGAACTCTAGGGAGAGTTTGTATGTGCAACGCCCCGTCCTCCTGCTTCCTCCCGCTCACATTAGCTATAGGTTTATTTTTTTGCATTGCTTTTTTGTTTTGTTTTCTGCAACGGTAAGGGGAACTTCAACCCCAGAGAAATCTCAACCTCTACATTTGTTTTAAACCATAGAACTCATCCCTTGCAACCTGATTAAGTGGTTGTGAGAGGCCCTATGTGTTTCTGACGATAAAATTTGCGTTAAATTGAATTGAATTGAGGCACCTTGACTTTTTTGGACAACGATTTCTAAGACACGACTCACACCTTTTCAAACAAAGTTCGAAGAAGGGTTCTAGTTGATGGTTTTTGCGAATGAAACTAATTAAATTATGTCTGCTCCTATGGAGGTTCAGTGAGATCTCCAAACCAAAAGCTACATCTATGGCTACATGATAAAGAAAAGGTAAACGATAAACTTGACTTATGTGTCAGAGTGTTAGTTTTGGAAACCATTGCCTCTATCGACCTCCACTCTTATTTATAGGTATGTGGCGGTATCCGCCTTGGAGAATCGTCTTCTTGATAATTGCTACAAAGAACTGATCCATCTTCTCCGGACATGTTTTCAGACATGAGATGAGTGATAGTTGATCCCTCAACAACTTAGGTTCTTCTTATGTGTTGGAATTGAATGCTTGGTTATTGCCTCCTCTAGGACATACCATAGAGTCGCGACCTGCATGGTCTTGTCTCACAACCAACACTGTCAGATCTCGCATGGTCGTCTCTCACGACCAACGTTGTTGCATATTGCGACCAACAAGGTTGTCTTAGATTTCTTAGCCATCTTATGATGACATGGTTACCTCCACACGACATGGCATAGCTTTGAATCTCAGAACTCGCCTCTCGCGACTACCATAGTTAGATCTCGTGACCAATGTTATAAACGCGCTGCTACGGATCGGGAAATCGCTGGAATCGATAAAGCAAGAATACGAAAGCGAGAATCGAAAAACACCGACACATGATTTACGTGGTTCACTAACACGATGTGTGTTAGCTACGTCCACGGGCGAGAGAGAGTAAGTTTCACTATATCGAGGAGATTACAGATTACAGAGGAGTATAAGAAGTATTTATAGTACTTCTCCATGTGGGTCTAAACCTAATCCAATATGGAAAAGGAAACGGTTACAGACCAGGCCCAAAACCCGAACCCAAATAACATTGAGCCCATACACCGTGGGCCGGGGGCGTTGCCCCCGCACCCCCGATTACCAGTCGTAGCGGCTGATAGTCCGATTCAAGTCACATCAACAAATC